AATTTTTCAGGATGCTCATAATATAAGCCCTAGCCCAAAAATAAGCCCAAGTTCAGTGAAACCCTGCCCTCCACCCTTGTACAGCAACCAGAAGGTGACATGACTGTATTTGAATCAATGTAGATGGTTGTGGTGTAGAGGGACGTGGTGGCGCTGCGGGTTAAACCACAGAAGCCTCTGTGCTGCAAGGTCAGAAGACCAGCCATCGCAAGATCAAATGCATGCGATGGAGGGAGCTCCCCTCGCTTGTCCCAGCTCCTGCCAACCTAGCAGTTTGAAAGCATGTAAAAATGTGAGTTGATAAATAAGTACTACGTCGGTGGGAAGGTCACGGTGTTCTGTGTCTAGTCGCGCTGGCCACGTGACTAGGGAAACTGTCTACAGACAAACGCTGGTTCTACAGTTTGGAAACGGGATTGAGCACCACGCCCTAGAGTCGGACACGACCGGACTAAATGTCAAGGAGAATCTTTACCTTTACCTAGATGGTGTACATGAAAAAAATTAAAACAACCCCTGAAAATAAGCCCTAAGGCGGTTTTTGGAACAAAAATTAATATAAGATCCTGTCTTATTTTTGGGGGGGAAAACACTGTAATTCTACAGATACCATCCATAAACACCACTTGTTTGCATGTGATATTTATTTGTGTACTCACCCCCCCCAAGTGTTTGGGTACACTTGCAGGGTAAGGGCTCCTAATCCATTTTAATAACCACTTTTAAAGTAGGGAAGGCACTATGTAGCTGGATGGAACAAAGAGATTCTATTGACTGGCCCACAGACATCTCGGTTCAATTTGAGTGGAAAGCTTGGTAGTTTTTGGGGTGGACAAGATTTGCATACAAAAGAGGTACTTACCCTCTCCATCTGGAATAAATAGTAATCAATTATATCCTGCGGCTCATCTTGCATGGGGTTCTTCTTATGCCTCTCTACCTCTGTCCTCAGAAATGACAACACCCAATTGATATGAACGCATGCCGTCTTGTGAGGCCCTGGGAGACGATTCATCAGCGATGGAAACATTTCATAGAGCTACATGGGAAATGAAAGCAAAACCATGTAACGACAAGAACACAAGAGCCCTGTGCTGGATCAGGCCAAGGGCCCCTCTTAGACCAGCCCCCTGTATCTCACCGTGGCCCCACCAGATGCCTCTGGGAGCCCACAAGACCACTAGAGACCCGTCTCCTGATCCCCCTCCCCTGCATCTGGCATTTGGAGGTCACATCCTTCTAAGCCTGGAGATTGTACATCCCCATCGTGACTTGTGTCCTGCAATGAACGTTTCCTCCAGGAATCTGTCTCTGGATCAGATGCGAGTGAAAAGGGCCTTCCTGACCATTCGGGGCAGCCCAGACCCTTCTACTGCCTCAGGCAGAATGTGGCTTCCCATCTGCACAGTGCCAGCCGTTCCTCCCCATTCTGCTGCCATTCCTTCTTCCTTCCACGTGCTTCCTTACACCCAGGTTCCTGTTCCCCTTCATTTCTGCTGCCCCTGTCTTTTGCATCATGGCTCATCCTTGGTCCACCGCTGCTTCTTTGCTGCTCCTTCCTCCCTCGTGAGCTGTTTCCTAACCACTGGAGCTCTGAGGGACTCTCAGAGCCAATTATTTTTTATGGACCCGACAGCATCTTCACTGCATGTAGTCCGTGGACAGCTGGTGAACCACATCTGGCTCTGAGAGGTCCTCAGAGCCATGAAAGTTACAAAACAGCTACCTCTGGAGAACCATGCAAAGCAACGGTCCAGAGCTGTGGGATTTATGTGGCAAAAGGAGCAGCCGATTTGCCTCCTGTTTATGGTTTGCAGCCTGATGCGGCCCCTTCTTTATTTTGAAGCATTCTGACTCTATACATAAAAACGGTTCTCAGGACAGTTTACAGCCAAAATATAGAAATAAAAAACAATGAAACCACTATGATTTATCAGAATAAATACAGTAAATATTCAGAACATAAGCACATAAGAAGAGCCCTGCTGGATCAGGCCAAGGGCCCATCTAGTCCAGCTCCCGGTATCTCACTGTGGCCCCACTAGATCCCTCTGGGAGCACACAAGACTACTATATACCTGTCTCCTGATCCCCCTCCCCTGCATCTGGCATTTGGAGGTCCTATCCTTCTAAGCCTGGAGTTTGTACATCCCCATTGTGGCTTGTGTCCTGCAATGAACGTTTCCTCCAGGAATCTGTCCAATCCCCTTTGAAAGGCATCTAGGCCAGATGCCATCACCACATCCTGTGGCAAGGAGTTCCACAGACTAACAACACGCTGGGTAAAGAAAGATGTCCTTTGGTCTATTCTCGATTTGAGTGGACGTCCCCTAGTTCTGGTATTGCGTGAGAGGGAAAAGAGCTTCCCTCTATCCACTTGATCCATCTCCTGCATGATTTTATACATCTCAATGTGTAACAATCTTAAATTGCCCAAGTACCACCTATCAGATGGTGGATTCATCCTTGAGTGAGATAACAGCATTGCTCAGAAGCATTCCCATTCCTATAAGTTATTTGCATTGTTTTCACTAGACTTCTGTAAGGAACCCAGACGTTGATTCTGTCACTTGCCACGTCTGGAAAATGCTACTTATTCTGGATTACAGTTATGTGTAACAATCTTAAATTGCCCAAGTACCACCTATCAGATGGTGGATTCATCCTTGAGTGAGATAACAGCATTGCTCAGAAGCATTCCCATTCCTATAAGTTATTTGCATTGTTTTCACTAGACTTCTGTAAGGAACCCAGACGTTGATTCTGTCACTTGCCACGTCTGGAAAATGCTACTTATTCTGGATTACAGTTCCAAGAGGTTATCTGAAGGATTGTATCTCCCCATATGAGCCTTCTTGACTCTTAAGACCATCAGAGGAGGCCCTCCTCTCTGTCCATGGCCAGCACAGGTGTACTTAATGGGGACACAAAACAGGACCTTCTCTGTGGTGGCTCCCAGGTTGTGGGAGAATGCTCTGCTTTGAGAAGTCTGGCTAGCCCCCCTCCCTTTTATTCTTCTACTCTTCAGACTTTAAATATCTACCACAAGAGTGGCTGGGTTTCTTCTTTTTCAGCCAAGTATGTTTGCTTTCAAGATTTTAAATGTTTGGAATCAGTTAATCTGTTTCTAATGAGTAGTTTAATTGTTTTCATGGGTATTTTATCGTTTAATTTATAAGTTTATTTGTTTTAATACTGTGAGCCCCCTTGGGTCCCCTCCCCCCCCCGATCGGGAGAAGCGCAGCCTACGAATGAAACCGACTGGCTGACTAAATCAATGAAAAGATCAATTAATGAATTAATACGCAAGCAAACTTTCATGGCGTTCAAAATGCTTCATTGGGCACCAAATGGCAGCAAACAGCCGAGGAAAAGCCAACAAAGGGGACGTTTGTGCAAAATCTTTAATTATGACAAAGTTTCTTAGAATGCAATCAGAGATTCCGTTGGGAGCCATGTCTGACTCAGTAGGGGGGTGGGGGAAGCAACTGAACTTACAAAAGCAAATAGGCTCATTCCATATTTTCCTATATAGTTCATGGCATCCATGTTTCTCTGGAATATTTTATCTTGAGTAGGAAAACGGTGCCCAAGAGTCACCGAACATATCACATTGGACATAGCCATCGAGATCGGTGGAAGAGGATCCAGCGGCTTTCCTGCAAGAGAAGGCATTTACAATCCTATGAATACTATTTGCCATACCTGAAAGCGAAGTGTTTCGTTTTGATTTTTAAATCAAGCTCATGAACAACAACTTTGTGTGAGGACTGGTCAGTAATAGTGCACAATATACAAGTATAGTGGACAGCAAGATATTCAGCATAATATATCCAAATATACCGTATTTTTCACTCCATAAGACGCACCTTTCCATAAGACGCACCAATTTTTTAGGAGAAGAAAACAGGAAAATATAATCTGTTTTCTTCGCTCCATAAGACGCACAGACTTTCCACCCCCGTTTCATGGGAAAAAAGTGCGTCTTATGGTGCAAAAAATACGGTATATATTTGGATATCTCCAAATACATCCAAATATGGATATGATATATCCAAATATGGATAATGCATCATCCAGTGTCTGGCAACCTCATGGGTGGATTTCTGGCCTTTTTGCAGTTACCTCACGAAGACTGGGTTGACAAATTACCATAAATCCTTTCCAAAAATCTTTTTTAAATCAAGCTCATGAAAAGATGAGGATTAACTGCATTTAAAAATACTGTATGCATATAAAGTAATTATAAGAACATTAGGAAAAATGTCTGGAAAACCATCCATTGTGTTTAAAGACTTTTTTCAGAGTGGGACTCCAACTAGCCTTAATACCCCCATATTGAGGTTTGTAATGGTGCTTATAAAAGGGTTATAATTGTTATTAGATCCAAGTGGGTGATACAGCTCCACAAAACAGGAACTCCCGTGGCCCTTGAATATGACTCTGGTTGGCCTGTTACAAAACTGTGTAGTGGAATTTCATAATGGAACCAGGAAGACCTCTAGAATCACGTGCTGTTTTCTGCACATTAGAGTTAGGAATGTAAATCATCTTGTACTTCCTTCTTGAAAGAAAGAATGAAAAATCTGAAAGGTTTCCTTTCCACTGGGTGAGATCATTCACCTTTTCGTGCCTTGCCCCCCTTCCATTTTGGAACTTGTTGGCAAAAATGTCACGTAAGCATCTTTGTGTACACACACACACACACACACACACCAATTTGCAAAAAGAAAAACCTAATGCTATTTGCTAATTCTGCAATTGGCGGGTGGGGGGGAAGAAACCAATGCTGGTACAGTGGACCCTTGACTTACAGACCAGAAAAAAACCAAAATGGAACAAAAACGGCCTGTTATGGGATTAATCGGTTTTCAATGCACTGTAGGTCTATGGAGACTTGACTTGCAGACTTTTTGACTTGAGAACCGCCTTCCAATACGGATTAAGTTCTCAAGTCAAGACCGCACTGTATTTTCATTCTTGTGCAGTGGGGGGTGGGGGAAACAATCTTGTAACTATTTGACCATAACTTCAACAGGGCATTTCAGCTTGCTAAGACATCCTTCTGCAAGGCAATGTGTGAATCGTCTTTACATGTTTCTGTTGGGGTTTTTGCAACCTCACATGCTGCCTTTAGGGGTTGTGGCTGGGAGGGACCTTTCTGGGCAGGTTTGACTGTCAGTCTATCCAGCACTAACCAATAATTCTTTCATGGTCTCTGAATTCAAAGAGAGCCCCGTCTCTCTGTTCTGTGTCTCCTTCCCTCTCTTTTAACTTAGTGACAGTCAGTGAGTCTGTTGAGACCTGCTGCTTCAGGCACCCATGTTTTGTTTGGTGTTCTACGGGTTCACAACTGTATGTAAAGGAAACCTTTTATTTGTTCTCCAATTAATGTCTCAGATGTCTCCTTCCCTCTTTTAATTTGTTGATAGTCAATGAGTCTGTTGAGGCCTGTTGCTGCAGGCAGCCATGTTTTGTTTGGTGTTGTACGGGTTCACAACTGTAAGTAAAGGAAACTTTTTATTTGTTCTCCAATTAATGTCTCAGAGTCAGTCATTGAGACTGTAAATGCCACTTAATGAGTAAAAACAGTGAACTAAACGAGGGACCTTGAAACATTTCTTCTCTGTGAATCCCTGCACTTTTGTTGTGCACCAAGAGGAATTTAACCCAAATTCAAAACTCTGCAACAGCTTCTTCTGAATATAAGTTAAATGACATTAGATTCCATTTAAAAACAAACAGGCATTGTACATACCGTATTTTTCCATGTATAAGATGTCCCCATGTATAAGACCCCCCCCAACTTTTCTAACCCAAAATTAAGAAATAGAAGTGGCGCTTAGCAAGTGTAGGGGGAAAGTGATCAAAGCGCTGCAGGATCACTTTGATCCCTGCTTTCTCCCTTTGTGCTATGCCCCGTGGGGCTTAGCAAAAGGAGGGGGAAAGGGATCAAAGCACTCCTGTAACTGCACAATTGTTTTGATCCCTTTCCCCCTTATACAGCCATGGGATTGCTTTGATTCTTTCCCCCTCCTTTTGTTAAACCCCATGAGACTTAGAAAGCAGAGGGGAAAGCAGGGATCAAAGCAATCCTGCAGCACTTTGATCCCTGCTTTCCTTTTGCTAAGGATTAGCAAGTGGAGGGGAGAGCAGGGATCAAAGCCCTGCAGGAACAATTTGATCCCTGCTTTCCCCTCCACTTGTTTGTGTTCTCTCCTCAGCTTACTTCCGTCTATAAGATGACCCTCAATTTTTAGTCTAAAATTTTTAGGCAAAAGTATAGTCTTATACACAGAAAAATATGGTAAATATTTCTGCAAGATGAAACAAATGGCAAAATTATTTTCTAATAATGTGGTACCATTTGTCTGTTGAAAAGTCTCCAAAAGCTGCTGGACCTCTTCATTTATTTGGGACTCCATGCTTTTCTTTCCAATCCCCATCTTCCTCATGGTGATGAGACCAAACTTTCTGTGCTCCTTCCAAGGGTGACCACTTTCAAATATAAGACCTCTAGCAGCTGAGAATCAAGAAGAAATGTATTTATTTATTTAAACATATTTCTACCCTGCCTTTCTCCTTGAAAAGGATGCAAAGGCAGCTTACAACATTGAAAGACAACATTTAAAGTTGAAAACAATGCATATACAATGGTGGTTAATATCAATATTTAAACTTAAGAACAATGAGTGCCAAGAGGAACCCATTAAAAGGCAATATTAAAACTAAGAACAATAAGTATATAAATATTTAAAAAGAAAAAAAAACACTGCTCTGAGAAATGGAAAACACAGAAATTGAAAACCCAAGCAGTACTAAAAATCCAGTCAAAGTAGTAATGCATAACAATTCACACCAAAAAAGAGATACTCACAAATACATGTGAATAAGTTGTTGTTTAGCTTAGGATAAATGTTTGTTTCAGCTCATCTCTGTGTTTTCATATTCATTTGCTTAAACTGGAGAACTGTAAGTCTACTGAGAATATAGTCTGGGTCCATTATATCTACCTGATACTACCCTGGATAAAATAACCTAAGAGACACTCACTCTTTCTCACTTAAACTTTTGGGGTGGATTCCCACAATGCTTTTTTTAAAAATTCAATAGGAAATGCTGATCATTTTGATTTGTGTCATAAATGGAAGTCAAGCATCATATGGTTCCAGAAATATATTTATTTATGACTTAAGATGACTTAGTGGACAAAGTGGCAGAAAGGGGAACTCCACGCAAGAGTGGCCATGATCATGATTTTAAAAGAAATCAAAGCAGAGTGTAGCCATACACATATGCTGGATTTTTACAAAGCCAATTTTAATGAACTCAGAACAAGAATAAATAAACTCCCATGACAGAAGATCCTAACAAGGAAAGGAGTTCAAGAACAGTAGGAGTTGCTAAGAAAAGGAAATTCTAAAGGCACAATTGCAAACAATTGCAACAAGAAAAAAAAAGGGGTGGGAGACAGCAAAAACAAAACAAAACAAAACAAACACACAAACACCCAAAACAACACGAACAAACCAGTGTGGCTTCACTCAAAAAGCTCAGAGAGGACCTGAAAACAAACAAACAAAAAGGGCATGTATAGGAAGGCCTGTCCACAAAGGAAGAATACAGACAATGGCAAGGAATTGCAGGGATGGCATTAGGAAGGCAAACGCTGAGAATGAGCTGAGGTTATCTTGAGACACTAAAAGCGACAAAAAAGCATTCTTCACGTATATGCATAGCAAAAGAAACAATGGCTCAGCTACTCAATGGATATGAAAAAATGACAGCAGATGGGAATGAAAAGGCTGAAATGCTCAATTCCTATTTTATCTCAGTCGTTTCCCAAATGACCCTCCAGAGAAATGTTAAGTGGAAGTGGGAGGAACAGGATTGAAGCTGGAGACTGATAATCAAATAGTCAAGGAATACCTTACCACCTTGAATGAGTTCAAATCTCCAGGGCTGGATGAACTGCATCCAAGGGTATTGAAGGCCTCCCAGAACCAATAAAGAACACTCAGAACAACTGTCCATTCTTTTCTCAAAAGCAGGGGAAACGAGTGAGATACCAGAGGATTGGAGAAGGACCAATGTTGTCCCTATCTTCAAAAACGGCAAAAAGGAGGAACCTGGGAACTACAGACCTGTCAGCCTGACATCAGTCCCAGGGAAAATTCTGGAAGAAATTATAAAACGGTTACTATACAAGCACCTGGAAAACAATGCAGTAATAACTAGAAGCTAACATGGATTTGTCAAGAACAAATCCTGTCAAACTAATCTGAACTCAAGTTTTGAGCAGGTAACCTTCCTGATAGACAGAGGGAATGCTGTAGACATAGTATATCTTGACTTGATCAAAGCTTTTGACAAAGTGCCCCGTGATATTCTGATTAGTAAGATAACTAGGCTGGATAGATGAAGTGTCAGGTGGATAGAAGCTAACATGGATTTGTCAAGAACAAATCCTGTCAAACTAATCTGAACTCAAGTTTTGAGCAGGTAACCTTCCTGATAGACAGAGGGAATGCTGTAGACATAGTATATCTTGACTTGATCAAAGCTTTTGACAAAGTGCCCCGTGATATTCTGATTAGTAAGATAACTAGGCTGGATAGATGAAGTGTCAGGTGGATGTACAGTTGAGGTGTGGGCTGGATAGATGATGTGTCAGGTGGATGTACAGTTGGCTATAGAGTTGTACTTAGAAGGTGATGATCAGTAGCTCCTTCTCAAAATGGGAGGAGGTAACAAGTGGGGTACCCCAGGGCTCAGTCCTGGGCCCAGTACTCTTCAACGTTTTTATTAATGGTCTGGATCAGGGGATGCACGGAATGCTCATTAGATTTACAGATGACACAAAATTGGGTGGATTAGCTAATACCCTGGAAGACAGAAACAACATTCAAAATAATCCAGCTAGACTGGAGAACTAGGCTGAAAACAACAGAGTGCGAAGTACTGCATCTAGCAAAAAAGAAATCTCTCACACACAGTTACAAGATGGGGGATACTCCATTCAGGAATACTATGAGTGAGAAGGATCATGGAATTGTCGTAGATCATAATAAGCTGAATATGAGCCAACAGTGTGATGTGGCTTCAAAAAAGGAAAAGGCTATTTTAGGCTGCATTATTAGAAGTATAGTCTCCAAATCCTGCAAGATACTAGTTCCTCTCTGTTCACCACTGGTTAGGTCTCACTTTAAGTCTTGTGTCTTCAGTTCTGGACACCACACTTTAAGAAGTATGCTGACAAATTAGAACAGGTTCAGAGGAGGGCAACAAGGATGATCAGGAGGCTGGAAACCAAGCCTTATGAAGAAAGACTGAAAGAACTGGGCATGTTTAGCCTTGAGAAAAGAAGACTGAGGGGTGATATGATAGCACGTTTCAAATACTTGAAAAGCTGTCGAATGAGGAGGGGCAGCATCTGTTCTCGCTCACACCACGGTGTAGCGCACACAATAATGGGCTCAAGTCACAGGGAGCCAGATTTCAGTGGAATATCAGGAAAAACCTCCTTACTGTTAGAGCAGTACAATGGTGGACCCCCCCCCCAAGAGGTAGTAAGTGTTCCAACACTGGAGGCGTTCAAGATAAATTTAGACAACTACTTGGCAGATATCTTTTGATTTGTATTCCTGCCTTGAGCAGGGGGTTGGACTAAATGGCCTTGCAGGCCCCTTGCAACTTCATTATTCTGTATTTCTATGATTAATTTATTTTATCCCTATGCTGCCTTTCTCCTAGGGAAGAGACCCCATCATTAAAAACGAAAAACAGACACAGCTAAAATGCAGTTGTTACATATTGGCACACTATGTATGCTGTTCCTAATATTGCCATTTTTTGTGGCTCTCATGAGGTGATTTTTGAGATCTGCAACTGCTTATAGCACTGTGTGAAATTTCTTGATATCGTTCCCAAAGCCCCAGTGACTACGGGGACCACTGAAGTGTGTTTCATCCACAAGTGAGATGTTTTTCGATTGACAAGTCTCTGTACTTTGTTAGTTTTTCCAGTTCTTTATTTTCAACTCTGGCATCCCCTGGAATTGCAATGTCAATGATCTAAGCGTTTCTATTACTACTATGTTTGGTGAGTTATGTTCAAGGCGTCTATCAGTTTGGATTCAGTAATCTCAAAAGATCTTGACTTCCTCATTTTTGACACCTTCTCTATCTGATGTTCTCATGGATTTTTTGAGACTGGCAAGTAATACTTTTTGCATAATGACCAGTGCATTAATTTTCCACTCTTATCATATCTAATTTTGTAATCTGTTTGTGCAATCTTTGGACATTCACAGATGAAGCGTGACACAGTTGCATCTTTTTCTTGGCAGAGGTGACATTTGCTATTAGCACTCATTCCTTGGATCATAGTTTTCATCACGTTGGTTTGGAGTGCTTGCTCTTGTGCAGCAAAAATTAAGCCTTTGTTTTCTTTCTTAAGGGTCGCCAGTTCTAGCCATGCCCATGTTGAATTATGATCATGCTTTCCATAAATATTTCTCAGGTGTTGCCCATGTAGTGGTTTATTTTTCCACTTGTTTAATTTATTTTCAATTTGTTGTTTCTAACATTGAGCCTTTGTTTCTGTTGTGGTTAAAATATTCTCAATTTTCACTGCCTTAAGTAATTTTTCTCTGCTTGTACTGATAAAATCATTTAAGCTTCTTTTTTCCTCCTCTACTACCTGCTGTATTTGCAGTAATCCACAACCTCCAATTTTTCATGGTAAATATAATCTGACCACATCACTATCTGGATGCAGTACATGATGCATGTTCATTAGTTTCTGTGTTTTCCAATCCAATTCTTCTAATTCATTTTGAGTCCAATATATTATTGCAGCCGGCTATCTAATTACTGGAACAGCCCATGAGTTTATGGCTTTGATTTTATTTCCCCCATTTAATTTTTATTTTAAGATTTCCTGCAGTCTCTTGATATATTCCCTTTCTGTCAGTTCTTTAACTTTTGTGCGCATGAGGTTTCTGCTTCTGCTGCTGCTGCTGCTGCTGCTGTTGTTGTTGTTGTTGTTGTTGTTGTTGGAACATGTAGTCTAGGTTGGACACTTAAATATCAGTATCCATAAATTGGAAATGGCAACTTTTAAAACGGAGTACACATTGCACATTACGTGTTTTTGAATAACTTCATTATGTACTGTGTTTTCCAGATGTTATTTTTATAACTGTTATTTTCTGAAATGCCATTCCTATTGATGGGAATAAAGGGAATAAGAAACTGAGACACGTGGCAGCACATTCTCTTTACACAAACAGAAGCTTCTTATATAGCTTCCATACTTTTATCCTAGTGAGAAACAACAAAGCAGATAAGCAGGTAGGTATAACATGGGGCAATACAGGATATTCAGAAAGTTTCCAAGCTATTAAGCTTATGCAACCTTATTCATAGCAGGCCTAAGTAAACGGGACATCAAAGGAAATGGGACAACTTGGTTGATATTATCTCAGGATGAGTTGGAACAAGAGTGCTTGGGTGTTTTTGGCTCATAAAATGGAAGAGTTCGGGAAATGGATTGGTGCCATGCAGCAAAACCATGGCAGCATCCCATAATCAGGGAGGAGCCATGGAGAGAAACTTGTCTGTGGCCGCTCCCCAAGTTTCACGATGCTCTCCCTTGGGAGGTTAGGTTGGTCACCTCCCTTTTGTCCTTCCCCCGACAGCTGAAGACCCACCTTTCAACCATCATGACCAAGTTCTTGAATGCTATTTTTAAAGTTAAGATAGTTTGTTATGCTTTTAAAAGGTAAAGGTTCCCCTTGACATGTAGTCCAGTCATGTCTGACTCTAGGGGGCGGTGCTCATCCCATCTCCATGCCGTAGAACTGGCGTTTGTCTGAAGACAGTTTCCGTGGTCACTTGGCCAGCGTGACTAGACATGGAGCGCCA